ATTTCTAAAATATCTGCTCCTATTGCATTATTTCTAAAATATCTGCTCCTATTGCGTTATTTCTAAAATATCTGCTTCTACTGCGTTATTTCTAAAATATCTGCTCCTATTGCATTACTAGCTCGATCCCCGTGCTTCGCTATGAAACTCTGTGGTGGGGCTTACTTTTTTGGGGAGGAAAATAAGGGGGGAAATTCTGCCTCTGCCTACCAGCGTCCATGCGTATTCATCTGACTATCGTCTTGTCCGTGTGGGAGAGAGTGGAGGGCTGTTTGGAAACTGAAAGGGTATTTGCTGGGTGAGCAGGAAAGAGACAGCAAGGGCGTGGCACAGCTCAACTGTTCTGTACTAAAGCTGCTTGGTGCTGTGAAACTGAAACGAAAACGCCTCTCCTCTCTTCTGCTTGTGTTTTGCCTTCGGAAGAGATTTCTTTTCTGGTGGGGAGGGGGAGCAGAACTCCTTAGCATCAGAGCGTGTTAATAACAAAAACAACAACAATATAGGAAATACACTAAATGCTCTGAGGGTCATTTGGAAAACTCCTTTCTTAGTGAGCCCCTGGGAGCCAAGAGGAACAGACGTGCCAAATTTCAAGTTTGTAGGCTTGACGATTCTGGAGATTTTGTGATGATGCATGGGTGATATATATATATATATTTAGATATATATATTTCTAAAAGATCTGCTCATGTCTTCAAGCAAACCTGCCCCCCCGCCGTTCCTGGATTTCTTTGCTCCTGACAAAGACCCCACCTGAATCCCCCCACCTCCACCAAACCAAACTCTGCTCCCAATTCATCTGCCAGAAGCCCAAGGCACATACTGCGATGAGTTCCCGTCCTTCTGCCTCATCCTCTCTGCAAACGCCTTTCGGTGGCAGCTCGCCGAGGAATTTGAACCCGAACCCGGGGAGGATGCTGAAGAGCTCCGTCTGGGGAGGGAAGGGCAAGAATGAGTGGTGGGGTGAGGGAGGTGGAGGGGATACGAAGAAGAACCTGCCTCGCTTTTCCTTGGCAAAGCACAAATCTCCCGCTCACTCATAGGCAGTCCTTGACTTATGACCACCGTGGAGCCCAACGTTTCTGTCGGTAAGTGAGACAGTTAAGCGAATGGGGGGCCCCGTTCGACCGCCACTGAATGAATCCCTGCAGCTGTTGTTAATAACGCAGCCCGACCTCCCCATCCACTTTGCGACACGGCGACCGTCGTAAAACGCGAACCACTTGCCAAGCCGAGTTTCGATCACGCGAGCTTAGGGACGCTGCGACAGTCGTTAAGTGCGTTAAAACGGCTGTGAGTCCCCCCCCTTTTTTTTTTGGTTGCTGTTATACGTTCGAACGTCACTAAAGGTTGCAAGTTGTATTACCATTGAAGGAACTCAGGTTTTGCGTCCTTGTAGACTGTGGGAGGGGTGTGTGTGTGTGTCCAACTTTGGCAGCTTTTAAGCACCTGCGGACTTCGACTCCCAGAATTCCTCAGCCAGCATGGCCACCATCTTGCGTGCGGGGAGGCGGGGGGGTGCAAGTTGGAATGCTAGTCCTCATGGTTACCCTTGAGGTGTTTCCAAGCAAGAGGGGTGGCGAATAAATTTGATAATTAAATAATGAAGAAAATGCCATTCGGCCTCCGTCTCGGGAGGCCTTGCCCTTCGGCCTCCTTCCCAAATGTCCAGGTGGCATTTTATTTTTTTATTTTTTTAATGATAGGATATTGAGAAACTATTTATTTCAAGGGCATCTCAAGCAATTGATGGCCTTAAGCAATTAATCTCAGGGACTATCATCTATTATAGATCTATGTTCCTATGCATAACCTACCTCTCTCTACTTTTCCTTCCTTCCTTTTCTTCTCCTTTTCTTTTCTCCTTCCTTCCTTCTTCTCCTTCCCATCTTTCTTTCTTCTTCCCTTCCTTCCTTTTCTTCCCCTTCCCATCACCTTCCTTCTTTCCTTTCTTCCTTTTCTTCTCCTTCCCATCTCTTTCCTTTCCATCTCCTTCCTTCTCTTTTCCTTTCCATCTCTCCTTCCTTTTCTTCTTCCCATCTCCTTCCTTCCTTCCTTCCTTCCTTCCTTCCTTCCTACCTTCCTTCTTTCCTTCCTTCCTTCCTAGCAACCTTCCTACCTATCATCTATCAGCCAGGAAGAACAGCTCAAAAGTGAAACTCCGTTCCTTCCTCATACATTTAACAGCGAAGGATGAAAAGACGTTTCCCTGCATTTCCGACCCCAGAACCGAGCTTTGGCCGCCTGCCGTGCCTTCGCCCTGGGTCAAAGCGGCCCTGCCTGGCCCCCTCTCACCTTCTGCAGAAGCTGGCTTCCCCTCTTCCTATGGAGGACGGCGGCAGTTTGAGGAGTCCCCTCCCCACCCCGTCCGCTCCTCGGTCCCGGCTGCAGGGCCACCACCAGGCGGGCCAGGGCCTTCAGTACATCCAGCTGGGCTGGCGGGTGCAAATCCCCGTGGACGAGGGCCACAATCCGGACAATTTTCAGCCCTGCGGAGGAAAGGAGGTTTTGGAGGAAACCCCAAGGCGGCTCGTTCCCTCGAGCGGTCTCAGGATTCCCTCAGACCCTGAGGAGATTCACCGGGAAGAGAGGAACAGAACCGGGCGGTGGCTGAAGTCCAAAAACTGGGCTTCCTTGTGGAGTAAATTCTGTCTGTCTGTCTGCCTTTAATCAATTATAATAGATCAATGGTCCTGTGTATCTATGGAGCCTCGGTGGCGCAGTGGTTAGAGCGCAGTACTGCAAGTTGCAATTGGAACTGCAATGGGGCAGTTCAAATCCCCCCCCCCCCCCCGGCCCAAGGTTGACTCAGCCTTCCGTCCTTCCGAGGTGGGTAAAACGAGGACCCAAATAGTTTTGAGAGGGCTGTAAAGCGGTATATAAGTCTAACTGCTATCGCTCTCTCTCCCTCCTCCCTCCCTCTCTCTATATATACACATACACACCCACACACAAAGTATACCTATCTACCTCTTTCTTCCTTCCTTCTTACCTATCATCTATCTAAGAAATCAATCTATCTATCTATCTATCTATCTATCTATCTATCTATCTATCTATC